AAAGTTTGCAGTGTTTAAATTTAGTTTTTCCGTCAAGTACTATTATTGAAAAAAAAATTCAATGGTCTGAACTTCAATGAATGGTCTGAGTATATCCATTTTCGATTAGGTGCACTGAATTTGGATATACTCTAATTACTAATGAAGTACCCACAATCATTATTGATGAGAGCTCCAAAGTAGAGGTAACTCTTCGTAGGGTATGTGAGCGATCAAATAGGTTGTGTTTGAATTTTATGAAATGAATCGTGACGGATAACATTAAGGCTGATAATTCAATAGAACTCCTAAATAAAAAAAATCAAGGAACTATCACCATTTAAAGTTACGAAAAAAAGTCTATTGTGGAAAGTTTCATGATCGAACTCACCACTATAAAAGTTCAACTAATTCCGTTCCATTCATGGTATCGTGTCTAACATGTTCAACATATAAGCTAAACTTGCAAACATGAGAGTGAATGTGATAGACTCATTTATGATTTTATTCATCATGAACTCTCTACCTGTCGAGTTTGGCCAATCCTAGGTGAACTATAACACCATTAAAGATAAATGGGACTATATGGAAATTAAGGCTATGGTGGTGCAGGAAGAGGTGAGAATAAAAGAGATGAGACAAGAGTCGATTCACTTTATATCTCATGTGAGAGCCAATAATAGTGAGATAAAATGGGAAACAAAGGCAAATAAAAGGAAATTGGCTTACTCAAAGTTTTTGCAGGTCCAATCATTAAAGAAATGAGGCGTTATTCCTGTAAAAAGTTAGGTCACCTCATAAAAGATTGCCCGAAATAAAATCTTGATTCGAAAAGAAAGACATACATTAAATTTTCGTATGTTGTGAATCACATTTATTAAAGATTCCCTATGATACTTGGTGGCTTGGTTATGTGCAACTACTTATGTATCTCATATTTAATTTTGGGTTAAACATAGTGCACATAATGAATACTATACTCTCTTATGGCATTAAAGATTATGGTCACATATCCGACAAAAGGTTTGAGAATGGTGAATAATGAAACCATTTCTCATTTGGATTTTAGTGATCAAGATGTATGTGTAGGATGAATTAAAGAAATGCAAACTAGACATACATTAAAAAGATTTGTCAAGAGAAGCACTAAAACTTATAACTTATTTTCACTAAATTTCTTGTGGTCTATTAGACGTCCCTTTATGGGGTTTTGTA